AGGCTTCTCCATGTTCTGAGGAGGTTGGGCCAGAATGGGTCCTTTCTTAGATCTGATCTCGCTGCTTGCCTTTGGTCGGTTTGTTGGCCCTGTGAGGGTGCTGTCCTTTTTGGGATGGGCCATCCCCTGTTTTCCAGCCACATCAGCATGTTTTTTTCGCAGGCTGTCTGCGGCGCCAGGCGGGCTATTTGTTCGAGAGCCTGCCCTTTCCATGGGGACTCGGGGCTGAATAGCAGGCGTTTGAGCCATTGTAGTGCCAATGCTTTAGTTTGTAGCTCAGGGTCGATGATGCCGAGGCCTCCTCTTGTTCTGGGTTGGGTGATGGAGCGCCAAGCCACTCTGTTAATCACCTTCTGCTTCTCATGATCGCCCCTCCACAGGAAAGCCGATATCTGCCTTTCCAGAGGTCGTAGTTCTTTCTTGTCCAGTGCCCAGATTGCGGATTTATACCATAGTGAGGCCAGCACGACATTGTTGATTATCAGGGATCGGCCGAAGAGGGAAGTGTGTTTGTCCTTCCAAAGTGCCATCTTTGCTTGGGGTGGGCCAGTGATCCACTCATTATTGTTTGGGGGTCTTCCTTCAGCTGTCATGGAGATTCCCAACACTCTGATGGGCGCTTCGTTAGGGAGCCAGTTCATTCTGGGTTGTTCTGGAGGTCTCGCCCCCTGGTGGTGTATCCACCATCCTTGTGTTTTATTTCCCCAGTCAATTACCATGTCTGAGCATTGCGAAAAACGGTCCATCATGTTTTGTATGCCTTCCATTGACTCTCTCGATGCCTCCACCATCAGGGTTAGATCGTCAGCAAACAGGGAGCACACGGGGATTGCCTCGAGGGATTCCGGCTATCTGAATTCTTCTTATGTCCTTGTGCGATCTGAGATTGGCCGCCAAGGCTTCCATGATGATGACAAACAGGTAGGGGGCTATTGGGTCCCCTTGCCTGACGGACCTTTGAAGGTTTATTGTCGGGGCCAGGTTGCCGTTCACCATCACTATGGTGGTCGCATTGGAGTGCAGGATTCTTACCCAGCACCTGAAGGATGGTCCAAAGTTGAATTTTTCCAGGCACTTATCTAAGAAGTGTCAGTCCACATGGTCATACGCCTTTTCGAAATCGATGAATATGATCGTCGCGTTGCTTTTTGACTGTCTGGTTAGTTTAATCATTTCATTGACCAACATGACGGTATCTTGAAT